CACACTTGTACGCGCTTATAATCCAGATCAGAGGTGTGTTTGGCTGCAGGCTCCTGCTTCTTTCTTGTTGAATCCCCCCCGTCATCTGTTTCTAATCTCTCAGTAAACACTCAGCTTTAGGACTCAAACTGGGTGTTTGGTGTTCAGAGTGAGGACAAGAAGTTCTTGTGAAGAACCTAAAGTTATACACTTTCACTCAATCACACATAAACCGTCCTGCTGATACAAATACTCCCTAAAGCACCAAATGTGGATTAATCCGCCGCTGAAAATAGTCCCCAAACAAATGCACTATTTCCTCCCGATTGAGTGACGTATCTACTGAACCTACTGAGCCCTTTTTTAAAACTATACATATATATATATATATATATATATATATATATATATATATATATATATTTGTAAATGTGTACATAGATTTTTATCTTCAATAGGAACCAATGGACAAAGCTCCAGAACCTGCCAGTAAGTGGACCTTGGTTCTTGGTGAAACGAGTCTATCAGGCTCTTATGATAGCGTCGTCTCACCCACCAGGCAGGTGGGATGACGACGCTTCCTCCCGAGGAAAAAGCTGAACATGTTGTGATGAGGAAACAGCAGAGGAAACTCTGACCAGCTGATCTCAGGTCAGACCTTACAAACCTCAGCTCATAACTGAACCTGCTCCAGCGAACTTCAATCACGTTTATTAATTAAATAACATCATTTTTATTCTAATTTGGTTAATTTTGTAAAAGTTTTCAAGCAAATAGTTGGTGCTGAAATAAGAGGAAAATTAATCAAATTTCTTTTTTAAATATATTTATCATTTATGTCATTCTTGTCAAGGAAGTGTGACGATGTTCTGCTTTTCTTTGTATCTTTTTAAACTGCATATATTTGTGTTTGTTAACACTTGTGCTGATTGACATCGTTTCTTAGACCAAAAGGTTTTTTCCAATACTTTACTTTGAGAAATATGTTTGTTTTTTCACCGCAAACCTGTTTTTTTCCTTCCATTTAACAGAACGTTTTCTAAACACAAGCAAGAATTTTGCCTAAAAAGAATAAATGTTAAAAAGGCCGAGCTTGCATCTGATCCATCACATCAAATGTATTTTTTATAGATGAATAATTATATTAAATCCTCCAGTAAGGGACCGCCAAAGACAAAGCAATGAACTGATCAAAACTGTTATTCTCAAACACACACACACACACACACACACACACACACACACACCTCCTGGAACCAGCAGGGCCGCATTCTGCTGGTACAAACGTGACGATTACAGCATCAGAACAATGCAGCAGAACCACATTCCTTCCAGAGATCAACACCGACTGCATCAAGTCCCCTCGTCTGTTACTGTGACTGTATATTAGCATTCATATGTATATTAGCATTCATATATATATTAGCATTCATATGTATATTAGTTATTAGACACGTTACTTCAGCTTTTATGATAAACGTTGGGACTTTATTCTGTTTATTGTAAATTCAAAACCCCATTAATCCACAATGTTTACCTCTGAGATAAGGGAGGAGAATTGGAAAGTAGCACAACATGGAAATACTCATGTAAAGTACAAGTACCTTATATGTATACGTATAAGTACAATACTTGAGTAAATGTACTTATTTACATTACTGGTAATAAAGATAATATAGTTGTAAAAAAGTGAGTTTAAAAATATTTTGTTTGCTTCATTTGTGTAAACATGGAATTTATTGAAAGATATTAGTAATAGTTATAAATGTTTAATTAGATCAAGTTTTAGTTTGTATAAATTCAACCATTAAATTGATCTGAATGTACACAAACCTTAAAGGTAAATAGTAATTGAGGTTACATAATACATTTTAGTATACTGAACATGGTTTTAGTGTAAACTTTACTCAAAATAGTTGAGGTAAAACTATGAATATAAATCAACTGAAAAATTGAGTAAAGTCAACTTAAAAAATATATCTGGATTTAGATAAATGTATTTCATGCAACCACTTACCTAAATAAAATTAAGTAAATCCAGCAAAACATTTTCAGTGTATTAACAATAAATCAAATCTTTACTTAGCCTCTTTTAGCTCCCTCGTTTGTTGTTTTTGTTGTTTTTTATTTTTGGCACATTTGGTGTTTACTATATAAATTAAAGCTGTTCACTATCTGCTCAGCACCAAACAACGGACTCACACTGTTAGAGAACATCTGGAGAACATCGTGGAGCATTTAGCCGCTTAAAAGACAGAGGTTCCCCTCAGGAGTTGTTGGAGACCAAAAACAGAGCTAAAAGAGATGGTTTAAGTACATTTACTCAAGTACTGAACCTAAGTGCAAGTTTGACATACTTTAATTTAATTTTATGCTACTTTACACTTCTACTCCACTACATTTATTTGATATAAAATGAAATGTGATGCTGTACTATATTGCTAATCCCAGCAGTACACACAATATCTAAAACTGTTTTTACTTACTTTAAATTTTACTTTGGTAAAATTTATAATTCAAGAATTTTACTTGTAATGGATTTTTTTTTCTTTCCCCGCTTTCTTCTTTATTTTTTAAAAATAAAACAGAACAAATCAGGAAATCAACACATATAGTCAAATTAAACAACGATTGTCGTGGAACGTTGTCCCAACATAATCACATCTCCTTATAAAGAAAGAGAAAAATAAAAATAAAACTTATTATACTATTAAAGGTTTTTAGTTAAAGTAGCAATACCACAGTGTGTAGATACTCTGTTTAAATCAAGTCATTCAAATTGTAAAAGCACAAAAGTATTTGTTGCAAAATGAACTTAAAAGTACAAAAAGCTTATAGTACTCACTATATGCAGAATGACCAATATCACAATCATTTCTTATAATAGTTAACGCATTAATGAGTTCATCACTTTAATGTTGCTTTAATTTGTATCATCAATCTGAAATCAAAGTAACAAAATGTATCAAATAAATGTAAAAAAGTTCAGTATTTATCTCTGAGCTGTAGTGGAGAACATAGAAATACCCAAGTAAAGAACAAGTACCTTTAAAAAAAGATTGTACTGTAGTAAAGTACTTGAGGAAATATATTGAGGTACTTTCACCACTGCTTACTTCTTCCACCATTGTTAGTATCATCGAGCAAAAAACAACAAATAAACATAATTTTCCACACAAAGCTGCCATGATGATGATGTGTCTGTGTGTGTGTGTGAGTGTGTGTGTGTGTGAGTGTGTGTGTGTGAGTGCAGTCTATAAGTCACTCTCAGGCAAACTTGTGACTCACAGGGCACTGAGGACAGCAATAAAAACCTATTTTTTTTCCTTCTTCTCTCTCTCTGTCTCTCTTTGTCTCTTTGTCTCTCTCTCTCTCTCCCTTTCGCTCTGTCTCTGTCTATGTATCTCTCTCTCTCTCTCTCTCTCTC